GCCGTTACCTTGCTATAACTTTTACCCATGCCATTGCATTGCAATAAACTTTCTTTCAGATGCAACCGCGCAAGTAAACCTTTCGGAAATTTGCATAATGCCGTTATTTTTTGTTGCGCCGGAACTTCTATTGTAGCGCAAATGTTTTGGGTCCGATTCCCTGGGGGCGACTTGAAAGGTCCCGCCTTCGGAACGACCTTAACGGTACTCTGGGACAGGTGAGGGATCAAAACGGCTCGAGAAGGTCGCGCTTCTTTATGGCATTGGGATGAGGCGGGGGAGGGTGAGGGAGAGGAAGGGGAGGAGTGGGGAAATGGCGTAGGGGGTGGTGATTTTAAAGTTGGGTTTTTTTTTATTTTTTTTTGCATTAGGAGGAAGGATTTTTGAAAAAATATTTTTTTTTTAATTTTTAGGTAACAATAATGTCATAAATATTTTTAAAATTTATGAAAAACTAAGATCTACTTAAAAATTTTTTTGCTTTAAAAATTTTTTTAAATTAAATTTTTGAAAATTTTTATTTTAAAGCCCCTAAAATTAAAAAAAAACTTTGTTTAGACATTCTGCAGCCGGTTATTAATGGCACGAACGCTTCAGTCTGTTACAATTAATTATTTTTCAACTTGAATGCTCTTTGTTTTTTCCGTAAATTGTCCTGATCCTCTTCTTAGAGTTTGACTTTTTTCAATTTTTGCCCTCAAGGCTAGGTTTTATGAAATTACTCCCTCAATATTTATTTTTTCTGATTTGTTTCTTTAGGCTTTTAAACCTTGAAAATAAGCCCTTAGGGCTTGAAGTTTTAAATATTAAATCGCTCTAGGCTTCTAGGTTCTTTTAAATTTGCTTTTAGGCTTAAAATAAACTTGATTTTTTTAAAATTTGTTGGCTTATGGATTGCTGCCCCCTCTTAGAGCTTGTTGTCCCCTTAGGGCTTGTGAAATTCTTTGAAATGGGCCAAAACATCCCGGGGGACAGCCGGCTCTTGAAATATGTGACGATCGGCACTGATCTCTCCTTCGTTCCGCTTTGATTAGCCTCGACCCTAAGGGCCGAACTTTTTTTACAGCTTTACTCTTTGTTAAGATTATTGTTGGGATTTACCATGGCACAGTAGGGGTTGATGGGGCATAGTACATTTGAAGATCTACCGTAGCACAATCGGGGTCATAGTGACGCGGTACGTCTGGTGCTTTACCATAGTAAATTAGAAGCTTTACCATGTTGCAATAGGGGTTATGGGGGTTATTGTGGCATGATAAATTAGACGCTTTTTTATATTTTACAACGAAGTACTAAAGGTTTTGTACTATATAGTACTAAAGGATGTACACTTTGTTTTTCTTTCTTCTTTAATGGTTTATTTCTTCTTTTTACTTTACTGATAAGCCTACTGATCATCATACCCACCTCCGTCATAATTACTCTTACTTCCGTCATCACTCTCCCCCCCCCCTCCCAACAATAACACAATTAGCGTTGTCAGGTTTTGCCACTCATCTCTTATCAGTTATTATGACACTGTTAAGCAACGCCAATTAGTTTTTTCGTCGCGAATCGGGAACGATGATAACCGAACGTCGTCTCTCTGTTTACTCTGTTCTTGCCCACCCCAGCCCTCTTCTCACCTGCCAACCAATTCCGTCGACGGAACCGACCGGCTTCATCGATTGAATTCGATTATTTTCTCTTATCTTCAGACACTTTCGATAAGCGGCTGTTATTGTGTTATCAGCGGTTAATTGAGGGCATGGCTAGGGTTTTAGGGTTGTTGTGGAGATGGGAGGGATGATTTGTGGGGTTTGGTAAAAATTTTCAAGGGTTGGAAGAATTTAAATTTAAATTTTTTTTTTAATTTTTAAAGCATTTTAGGTAACAAAATGAAGTTTTTTTTTATTTTAGGTAACAAGATTAACTTTAAGTAAAAAATTTGTTACCGAAAATACCAAAAAAGTATCCCCCTTCTCTAAATTATTCAAATTACAGCTAAAAACGAAAAAACTGATGTTGTATGATCGCCCAAACGAACGATATAATCCAAGTTTTACTTTGAACCCGCAATTTCATAACAATTCGAAGCTTTTCAAAACTTCTTTTTCCGATCCGAACGAATACAAATTTATTCGTTTTGTTTTCATAGGCTTAACTCACATTGATAATACTTTTATTGACTTTATCAGGGGTTTTTACGTTGAAATTTAATCGATTAACTTGGTTTTTTAAACTTTTTATTGATTTTTTCTGGTTTTTTCAAGTTTTTTTTAAATTTTAAAAGCTTTTCGAAAAAATTTTTGAGAGTTGGAGGTGTTTTATAAGCCTTCTTTGAGCTGATAATGAGGATTTTCAAGGGCTTTTGGCTATATTTATATTATCCATGTCTAATTTTTCAATTTTCTAAAATTTTTTTGGTTTATCAATTTTCAATTGATGTTTTTATTAAGGTAGCATATACTTTTTTTGAACTTTTTGGTCCTTTCAAATACTGAAAAGAAGTGTAATCGTTGGAACCTAACTTAAGATAGTTTTGAAACAAAGTGTAAGAAAAATGTTACACTTTAAGGTAGTTGTAACCACCAAACAGTAAATTTCTTTTTACTATTGTACTGTTATCTTCGGTTTACCTTTTTGTCATACCTAAAATTTTTATCTTTTGCCATTTTTTGAATTTTTTTGCGTTTAAAAATCTTCAGGTACGACATTTTTTACTGTTTATCGTTCTTTATCTCTTTATCTTTCTTTTTCTTATCATTTTTTAACCATTTACTTTAAGGCTAGTCAAAAGTCTTGTCGTTAATTTAAATTGCTTTTTACGTACTAAAACGACAAGACTTTTTAAAATCTTAATGTTATATCTAAAGTTCTCTAAAGTTCATGCCTGTTCCACCCCTACTTTTCTTAAAATTTTTTTCTACCCTTTTCAACGAAACATGCCTTCTTTCAAAACTGTCGAAGATTCTTTACCTGGCACGTAGCTAGGTATTTGTAACCTCCAAGGTACAGTAATAGCATTAGCATTCTTCGGGTGAAAGGGTGCGCACTTTTGGCCTTTCTTGTTTCTTTTTTGTCCTCAAATGAATCGTCTCGCGCATCCAAACACCGTCCGACCTTTCATGGGGCCAAATCATCCGCTGAACATGTTTCATAGGAACAGGGGGGGGGGAGAGGAAGGAAGGAAGGAAGGTGTTGGGTACTGTAGTGTAGGGTTAGGCATAGTATGGAGGGTGGAAGGAAAAGATGTTTGGAGGGGTAAAATACGATTGCCAGTGGGTTGTAATCATAAGTACAGTAAAAGTGACAGGGGAAGGGGTAGGATGGGGTAGATGGGTAGGGTGTAGAAAAGGGTGGGCAAGGGGTGGAGAAGAGCAGAGGTTAAAAGTAGATGATTTTAGTAGAAAAACAGAAGGCGGGGTAAATTTTTTGTCAGTGAGTGGATCTTTTAAACTTTCGAAAATTTTAAAGCAAGGCGGGGTAAAAAAATAAAAATTCTTAAAGGCAGGGTAATTTTTTACAATTTTTTGACCCAAACCAGCCCAAAAAACGGATACCTTATTTGCATAAAATTTGAATACGCCATTGTTAAATTACACAATGGAACATGCGCGAGAACGATACAGACACTTCTACCATGTATAGGATGAGTCAACGTTATTGTTGATGACATTTGGCAAAAGTTTACTGTTGGGTTCAGCTCAATTTGAATATTTTTTGCTTTTTTTAAGTTTTTTTTTTAATTTTTGAAGGTTTAGTATTAGCAAGCATGTTGTTTTAGGTACTGAAAGAGCTCTAAATCCCTTTTGATAGGCATATTATATCATATCAATTTCACTTTTCAAAGTTCAAAACTGCTTTACTATCGATCTACTACAAGATCCTCTGACCACCCAGTAGCTGAATTACTTAACGTTGCTTTAACGTAGCAACTTTTGCTTTTTGCAACAGATCCTGTACTATTAATTTTCACTTTTCTTGTTTTTTGCGGCGGCACATCTTCGAATTAACGTGCCATCTTCTCCTAACGTGGAACGTTGCGGATTTGTGAATAGATTAGGGCGGTAATTAAAGGTTGTAAGCGAAAGTGACGCGCTTTCTGAGGGCTGTTGAAGCTACTGTAGGTTTGGTATCCGGTTTTGGATTTTTGGTATGGCTTTGGTACTGTTTGGTTTTATTTGTACCATACAGTACCAATACTAAGAAGGCTTCATCTTACTGTAGTTTTAAAAAATTTTCTTTAATCTTAACCACTACCTCATCTCAGCCCCTAAGGCACCCCGCAAGTCATGTCATGCTTCCAAACTTAATTCACCAGCACGTGATGCCAAGCAGATCAAACTCGCTTTAACGTACTGTTTACGTCGTTTCTTCCTGAACGCTGTGATTAAGCGTTAATTGACGCCACTGTAAATATAAGTGGCTCGGCATATCCGTGTTGGAGAAGATGCTCAAGAAGAGAAGAAGATGAGATAATGAGTGTGCCGTTCTCCAACTTTCGTTTATTCGTGCGGCTAGCCGGAATGGAAATTTTTCGTTTTATGTTTTAGGAACAGCTTGTTCTGGATTTTGAAAGGTTTTTTGGGCTATGTTGGAAGGGGGGGGCTTAGGTTTAAGGCTAGGGGTAAGACTAGGGCTAGGGATAGGGATAGTACTAGAGCTAGAGCTAGAGCTAGAGCTAGAGCTAGAGCTAGAGCTAGAGCTAGAGCTTGAGCTTGAGCTTGAGCTTGAGCTAAAGCTGGAGCTAGCGTTAAAGCTAGTGCTTGAGCTAGAGCTAGAGCTAGACTAGAACTATGGCTAGCTTCCTAGAATCTTAAAAACAGCTTCTTTCGAATCTTCAGATTTCAGTTGTAGCCATTTGAATTCTGGTATCGTCATTCTTTGTTTGCAAACTTCAAAATCATCACTTTCTCCATCTGCACTTCAGTAGTATTCTTCAGTGTGCCGGCTTCAACAGGCTACGCTCCTGAACTTCAGAGGCATCCTTCTTGTCGTCTATACACAGAAGCATTCTCCTACTTTTCTGAACTGTAGAAGCATCCTTCTTGTCGTCTAAACTTCGCGAGCATCTTTCTACGCTTCTGAACTGTAGAATCCCTTTTCGAACTTTGTAAGCCTCCTCTTTCGAACTTCAGAAGCATCACTTTCGGCGTGTTTTCACTCCTTCCGCGGGCTACACAAGAGGGGGCAAGGTAACGGATTCGCCGTCCGTCGCTAAGTGAGTGCGATTTCGCTGGCTGAAGAAGCGAAGAGGATCGTTCCGTGGAGTGGCGCATCCTCAATTTTGCTACAATGGCATCCGAACTCGTCTTCCTCATTATCTGCTTCTTTTGTGCGGAAAAAGCGGCTCGGGAAGGCGGATGCCGGTCGCTTCTTCGTCGTCGCAAACAACAGCTTCTGTTGTTGCTGTATTTATTGTCGCACTTTCACTTGTTGAGGAGCGCCGTGCAAGTGGGTGTTGTTGATGTACGATTGAGATTATCGTTGTGAATGGGGTAGTATGGAGCTGGGAGGTTGGGGTTGGGGTACTGTAGGGGTCATGAGGAGAGGTTCGGCTTGGGATACGGTAGAGGTCATGAGGGTACGGTAGGTGGCATGGGGGTAGATTAGTAGATGGCATGGGGGTAAGGTATATACTGTAATGATGGGGAAGGCTTATGAGCGTAGAGTAAAGGTTATGTTTGTAGAGTATAGACTATAAAAGTACGGATGATTTTATAAGGTTAAGATCGACCGTGCCGTTATAGGCTTGGTAAACCATATATTTATAAAATTTTTTTGAGTACTTGCAATATTACAATCAGTAAAAAATGCCACTTTTATTAAATAGCCTGCACTAAAACTAAGATTAGTAAACGTTTACTTTGTCGTATTACATGATCTTTGCTTTAAATAACACTTATCTATTACTATTTTTAATTCTTTTGAATTTTTACATAAAGATATTAATTAGTTAGAGACACGCTGAACTAATCTTCTTTTAAACACATGGTAAATTTAACTTTTAGCCCGGTAAAACATTACGTCTTTTATAAAAATACGCTTTAGTGTTTTACGTTTACTTACAGTATTATAAAGTACTGTATTTTGTTTTAAATACAACGTGGTTTTTCTATTAAGAAGAAGCTTCTTGAACATAGTAGGGGCTTCATACACTGTTTATATCACGTTGTAGCACCTAGCAGTACATCAAACAAAACCTATATTAGGTAGTTCATATAATTCTGTGTCTTTTAATCTTAAAAATTTGCTTTAACCGGGAGCACAGAATTATTTGACTAACCTATTAACTTTTTTCTCACAATAAAGTAAAACCAATCTAAATTAAGGTCGTTGATGTTGCAGGCCTTTATTTCGGCTTATCAGTGCCTCGTTTAACGTCCGGTGTTCACTTTCCGCTAGTCAAATAAAGGACCCTCACCTTCCGGGTCTCGCTCCCCTCCTAGCCGGAACCTCATGCCATCTTTGGCGGTTGTAATCTTATCTTCTGTCCGTTTGTGCCACGAATTCTTGCGCTTTATCAACTGAATTCTTGGCTCGTTTTTTGGGCAGGGGTTTGAGTTTACAGCGGTAACTTGGGTATATGTAGTGATGTTTAGTTATGGCAGTTTAGGTATGAAAATGTAAAGTAAAATCTATATTTTTTGTCGTTTTAGTACAGAAAGAGCAGTTTTAAAGCTTATTTTTGCTGATTTTGTAGTCTTTAGAGACATTTTCTGCCATTTTTTGATACTTTAAGTACAGCATAAGTATAGAAATTGCAGTGTAAAGAAGTACATTATTATTATACATGGTTTAAGCAGACTTATATTATCTTTTCTAACCCATATTCAGCCCAACACCTCTTTAAACCAAACCAATGCCAAAAGCAGCCCAAGCTGATCCAATGCCAAAAAGCAGTCCAAGCTGATTCAATGCCAAAAAGCAGTCCAATCTAATATAATAAAGCCACAAAGAAGTCCAAGCCGATTTGTTGTCATCCGCCCGAATGTCTCTTTTACCTACGGGCATGGCCTCGGAAAATCGTGGTTTCTTTGATCGAGTTACTCCGAGAAAAACTACTTTTGTTTTGCCGGCTCTTTTCTTGTTTGTAGTGCCGGTTATCATAGGTAAAAGCATTGGGCATGACGCGATAAAAGAGGTTCGTTGGTTAAGTTAGGGTTGAGGAGGAAGGAAGGGTTGGTTTTACTGAAGGTGGGTGAAGTGTGGTGGTTTTTGGGGGTTGATATGGTGGCTTATAGGGTTAGTATTGGGTTTTTCTCAGTGTTATAAGCATGTATATTGTAGTAGAAGAGTGAGACTTTAATTGAAGAAGGGGTGTGAACGTTAGAAATAATTTTTATGAGCAGAATACCTTTTCTACAAAATTTGTTTTGGTTTACTTTTAGTATGAATCTTTACTTAATCTTCTCTTGTTAACCCTTTTACACCTTAACTCTCCCTCCTCTCCCTTGCACCCCAACCCTTTCCTAAACCCCCTACTCTCATTTGTAACACGATAATGAGTACACATCGCTTCATACAACTAATACCGGTCGGTTATTAAGATACAACTAATACCGGTCGGTATTAAATGTTGAAGCACGATGTGGGCAGGGGGATTACGAAGGGCCCGGGGGCGTTCCGCACAGCTCTTTTGTGATGTTGTGATATGTTGTTATGCACTCCTAAGTGAGTGGAAAAGTGTGTGTGTGTGTATAGTTTTTTAATTCCGAACAAAAAACCTTGCCCATTTACACATTTCCGCTTTGACATTCCTTTTGGGTCTCAAACTTTTCGGCATAATTTAAACCGGTGTTTGGCTTGTGGGGCTTAATAGGGGAGGAGAGGGGGTTTATTATGTGAAGTTTATAGAGAAGATGGGGTTAAATTTTGAAAAAAAAATTTAATTTTTAGTTATGGTAGGTACAGTAACCTTTAAAACTAAAAAAAATTAAATATTTTTGCCTTTTTAAATTTAAATATTTTGCCAAACCTAACCTCTAAAAACTAAAAAACCCTTCAAAACCCCTGCCAAAACCTTTACAACTCAATGTTACAATGCCTCACTTGACCATTATAGCGTTGATAGCTTCTATCAGCTGGCTGTTAACACTTATTTCTCTTTTTTCTATTTCATTCTCTATCTCTAAGCAGTTGCGCGCCTTCTTTACAATCATTTTCAAACCAATATAACCCGGATATAAAGCCTCGTTGTCATTTCCGAGCTGTAAAATATTATAGTTTAGGGTAAATTGCAATAAAAATGATGTTTTAGTATCGTGCTTGGGTTTAACATTAGGTTTTTTGGGGTTTTTTGAGGTTTTTGTGGTGATATTTTGTGTTTTTTTTTAGTTTTTTAGGCGACATTTGGAGACTTTTTCTTATTGTTAGTTTTAGATGAGACTTTGAGTTTGTGAGTAGTTTTTAGAGGTTAAATTGTAGTAGAGATTGATATTTTTAGTTTTTTAAGGGTTTCTATATATTATTGTAGGCTTACAAAGGGTTTCTTGATGTTACTTTTAATTTTTTAGTGAGTTAAAGTTCTAAAATTGTACTTCATTTTAGATTTTTCGATAGCTTCAGGTCTTAAAATGCCATTTTCTATTGACTTTTGCTCACTTTTTTAAATTTTTTAGCTTTTATATTGTAGTAGAAGATAGTCAAACTTTAATTTTCCTATTTTTTCTTTATTTTTTATTTTTTTAAATTTATTTTTCATTTTTAAAAGTTTTTTTTTGTACTTTCCAACCCTCCACACCCTTAAAAATAGCCAAAAACAGAACCCAATAGTAGGCGTATGTACTGTAATCTATAATTACCATACTTTTTCATGCTTAAACCCTCTTTAATTACATTACAAAGTACACTACTGTTTGACTTTTTCGAATTTCCGAAACATTACAACTCTTGTTTTTATACTTTTTGGTAATCATTCTTGTTTGTTGTAATCTTATACCATTCGTGGTAATTTGAATAATCTTAAAAGGGGGGTTTTGCAGAGTTTTTTACTTTCTAATTAGTATGTGTATTATCTTATACATTTCTGCACGAGTACAAATTAGTATTTGGGCTACAATTAGGTTTGCGAAATCTTAAGAGGTTGGGCGTTGGGTAATATTGGGGTTGGCTTGGCTACAATAAGGTACTGTAGAGATTGGGCTATTTTTGGAAAATTTTAAAATTTACCCTACCCTACCCTACCTTACCCTACCTTACCCTACCTTACCCTACCTTACCCTACCTTACCCTACCTTACCCTACCTTACCCTACCTTACCCTACCTTACCCTACCTTACCCTACCTTACCCTACCTTACCCTACCCCACCCTACCCTACCCTACTCTACCCTACCCTACCTTACCCCACCCTACCTAACGTTTTTATACTGTATTATATGCTACACTATCCTAATCTATCTTATCTTACCTTGCGTTAACCTACTCTAACTTGTCTTACTTTACCTTACACTACCTTACCTTTACCTACCTACCTTATTTTATTCTACACTGCCTTTCAAAACTTCTTTAGCATGCCTAAACAACATCAAAATGCTATTTTTATGATCACACGTTAATATCACGAGTAAATTATATTAAAACAAGGTAATTAAACACACTAACGTAACGTTTGTAATCTTTTTCACTTTGAAGAAAACGGTTTTTAGGGGGATTATCTCTCCTTTTCGATATTAACTTTGGAAAGCGTTCGAGATTAAAGGCTTGTCAACGGCGGATTTCTTCTTCTTTGGCCATACAGTGTTGGGTTAGAGCTTCGGAAGTGTTGTAGTAGCAAGTTTAGTATCTTTACCACTAAAAACATTGTACCAAAAAACTTACAGTATTCAGATACTGTATAATAATTTTTAAAACCAAGGTCAATCCAAGGTTCAAGCACTTATATCTAAGCCAAATTAGTCAAAAAAAAAACAAAAATCTCTTTAAACTTTTGTTTTTTTTAAGTGCGCGACAGTTCGGTCTCCTCGGATTAAGAAGACACGCGACGAAACGTGAAGGAGCACATCGCAGGTCAAAGAGAGGGGTGACGTCAGGTCGCGAGGTCAGGATAACGACTTTACCTCGCGGTTTTTTGAGGTCACGCTACTGTTTTTTGAGGAGGAATTGTAATTTTTTAAGGAAGGGGGGGGGTAGGAGGGATAAATTGTAGTTTTTGAAGGAAGGGTGGGAAGTGAGGGGAAAAGGGGTAAATTGTAGATTTTAAGAAAGGGTAGGGAGGGATAGTTGTAGGTCTTAAGAAAGAATAGGGACAGGGAGAGGTAAATTGAAACTTTTGTAACAAGGGGAGGATAATGACCAGACCTATCATTTTTTAAAGTAAA